GGATCACACTTCTCAGAATAGCAATTATCCTAATCCTTATTACAGCACTATTCAGCTTTCTTGGGAAAAAGACGTAGTTAATTCTACAAAGTACATGCTATCATTTTCTATAAAATCCATCATAACAAATGTCCTTTCTATTGTATAATTTTTTGTGCAACCTTTTAGTAGCCTGTTTATCATAATTGGCCTATCTTTATTCTGTTAATGATATTATTTTAGTAATATAAACTTAAAATCATACAATTATTTACTGATTTCAAGATGCAATAATTATGACTATCTTGCACTGCAGCAAGTTTGTAATGAGATGTTTCTTTTTGTTTATTAGCTACTTACTTAATTACCTTTCAAAATTTTTAAATAAAATTTTAGAAAAAGAAGCAAAATATGAAAAAGTAGAATTGTATATCTTTTCTAATAAATTAGCTTCTGTCTTCCTTCTCTTCTTTCTCGGTCGTAAAACAGACAAATGAAAGAGGTTCCCATCAACTAAATTATTGTATTATTAAGTTTTAAAAGTAGAGCAAAATGAAAATTTACTATATTTCATAGATTTCATAGGTAGGTTTTTCTCTGTATATTCCTATATGTGAGAAATAAATTATAGAATCTTATTGCTGCTACATTACAATAAAATTACTGAAATGTAGTTTGCTGAAACATACTTTCTTTTATTGCGATAAAAATTGCTGAAATGTGGTTCACTGAACCATACTTTCTTTTATTGCAATAAAACATGAAAAACTTGCCTAAAAAATTATTTTGATAGATAAATTTTTAAACATTTTTCTGTAAAAATTATTTTTAAAGTTTTTTTTTGTAATTAAATTGCATGTAGAGAATTTGTTTAACAAGTTGAACAAAATTTTCTAAACTATAGATTATTTGTTAAACTGACATTTTACTGTACTTAGAATTTAGAACGATAACTAGTAGTAATCTGATTATGGGTTTTTGCTTCTTTATTTTATTAAATGGTTTTTAATTCTTTATTTTATTTATTATATTAATTTTATCTTTATTCACATTTTATAATTATTTATTATGTGGAATTTAATTTTTTATTTTATCTTTATTTTATTATGATATTTATTTATTTATTAATCATTTATATTATATGAATAAAATAAATAATTACAGTATCAAATTTTATAAATTATTTTAGCTATGTAATAATCAGATTTTGGGATGTATTAAAAGTTTTACTTTTTTTGAAAATGTTTATGTATGTTGCAACTTTCATTATAGCATGCTCATAGAAAATGTGATTGTCCATTTCAAATGAATACCGTGCAATGCATTAGATTTTTATGAATAGAGTATCCAACACTGATAGCTCTCTATAAAAAAAACTTTCTTGAAAGTGCATGCTTGAATCTTGATGCAATTAATAAGACACATATTTCTCACAGTCATTTCTCTCCAGGAATGAAGAACAAAGATTTTATGAAAGTAAATTATATTTATTTTATTTAAAATTTCTTTATTATGTAAAGAAAATGTAAATATAAAATTTCAAAACCATTGTCTGAGAATAAAATTGTACTTACATTAATTTTATTTACTTAATAGTTTGGAAAAGAGTCTTCCCCCCATCCCAAAAGTTAAGTAATGGAATCTTAAGAATTTCATTCTTACTAATTCATTAGTCATATATTTCCTTATTGTTAATTACAGGTTGCATCTCTTGCAAAAAATCAAGCACTTGTTGATGTATTGTATGTATATATATATCAACAAGTATTATTCTATATTTCTTAAGAAATGACTGTGATTTAGTGTTTAATCATTATTGCAATGAAATTAGTAGTTTTATGCATCAAAAGCATGGTTTACAACATCAAATGAAGCATGGCTGTAGTGTCTGAATCAATGTTATGCTCACCTGTCTCAATTCGCTCTTTTTCCCAATGAGATTTTAAAAAAAGACTTGCTTGCTATATCTTAAAAACAATTTTTATTCATTTTTGAAAGAAATAAGGGAAAAAAATGCACTGCTCAAAACTGTGCTTTGTGATGAGATTTACTGGTACTTATATAATTTTTGTGTTTATTATGCAAATTTTAAAAGTGTTAGGGATTCTTTATGTAGAACACAAAGACTTGTAAAATAGCTACTTATTATTAAAATCTTATTCAGAATTAAAAGCAAAATAATATTTTCACCATTAATTTTGCATTGCATTTTATTACAGTTATTTCTATACCCTTATTATTGTTAATATAATTCTGATTATAGTTTTTGAAAGATTTTCATTGCTGTAAATTATTATCCTGCCATCAAACAAATTATTTTTTAGTATATAAAACTAAATTTCAGAATGGTGAAATATTACATAAACATCAATTTTTAATAATGTATTTTGGGTATGTATTTATAAAGATAAATTTCCTTCAAATTTATTATTAATATAAGAATTTACTGATTTCGATTTTAGTTTAAGTAGTAATTTTTCTGCAACTTGACTGCTGCTTTCTTTCTTTCCCCTCTGTTGCAGTAATTGCATCTGTTATTAACCCTGCATCAATCTTTATGTAATTAAGTATTCAGTTTTAACATATAAGGAAAAACTTACATTTTTCTTTTCTTCTCTTAATAGCTTTAAAACGTTTGTTATTAAAATTTAAAGTTAAACATTTTCACATTATTTCTCTGATCAGTCAGTCTCTGCCAGTGCAGTTCATGTTTAGATTATTTCACTCTATCATAAATTACAAATTATCTAAAAATAATTCTGCTCCTCACTCTCTATGTTAAATTAATGAATGGCTCTTAGAAATAGATTTAAATGCTACTAAATGATGTCAGCATATTTTTTTATGACATATGAAAAATACAAGTGAATCACTCACAGAATCGTTGATATATACTTCATTTCTTTATTAACATAAATTCAGTCATTTTAGTTTTAACAGGAATCAACTCTTTCATTTAAGATTAATGAATAATCATTTTAACTGTTTAAAATCTAAGTTAAACAAGCTTGAAAATAATATCTATCATTTAATAATTTAATAATGCATTTTGAAGCATCGCTAGATTTCATATTTTAGTCCTCATTAGAAAATTTCCCATGACTTTTTTACCCTTATGCATTGAATTCTTCACCACAGTGACTCTGTATATTAATTTAAATACATAGACATGTACACTCACACATAATTCTATGGTTATTGAAAACATTTATTGGCAAATATATTTCAGGTTATTTTGAAAACTGCAATTAGTGCTTTTAATTAACGAAAGCACTACTTGATATAGTAGAAATGCTTCACAATAGTATATGCTTTGGGTAGTTTTGTTTCAACTGTGTTATTTTTTATTAAGTTTTCTTAATTTAAAAATTCTAAAGGATAATAGCTTCTTGCAGTTTTGAGGCTACTTTAATTTATACAAAAGTAATATTCAAAGCCTTTAACCTAAAATAATTTGTTTGTGGAAATTATAATCTAAAAAATTTATAACTTATGTAGTTCAATACATTGAATCAATTACTTGGAGAAAAATACATTTTCTTATGATGATACAAATAAACATACTGTATTCATTAAAAAATGTTTTAATGTGTCTACAAGTATATACAGCTAGGCAGGACTCTAGAATTCCACTATTGGTCATAAAACTTTTACTGAACATTTTCATTTTGTGTTAAAAACTTTTCTTAATCAAATTTTCTTAAACTTTTCTTAAGTTTTCAATTATTTCAAATCCTGAAATTAAATTACAATAGAAATGTTTTAGCATGTTTGTAACCATAGACAATAAAAATAGTGAATTGTTAAACTTATTGCATAAATATAAAATCATTTGCTAAATAATGATGTTTATCTATGTAACTGTAATAAATTTAAAATAGAAAAGACTTTTTTATTTACATTAAATTTTTTTATCTATTTAAAAAATTCTTTTTATTTTTTGTATATGCAACTTTTGACTAATTCCATTTTTTCCAAATTGGCAGTTGTGCTGCACTGATATTAGCTAAAATAAACTTTCCTCTTTTTAAATTAAAAAAAATACTTTTTTCTACTTCTTTCGTTATACAGCCAATGATAATACATAACTTTTACCTTTCTTATTAATTTTATGTTATTTTTCTCGACTTATTATTTTATTGTTCATATTTGCACCATTTCAGGAATATGCATTACATATTATCAGCTTTCATGTTTTTTTTAATAATTAAAACTGTAACTTTAATTCCTTTATGTTTGTAAAAATATGAATAGGGCAGTCAGTTTTTCTCTAAAAAACAAAAGGAAATTTAATATTTTTAATATTAAGTGTAAGTTCCAGTTAATCTCATCCACTTAAATTACTTTAACATTATCGACATATAAATGTTTTACAGAAAAATCTCTTAGTGTGTCAGTCTTAATAATAATAATCATTACTTTTATTTTAAATTATTTTATGTATCAAATAATTTAGAAGAGCTGTTTTCTGTTACATAAGGATTGAAATTCTGTCTGTTATTTACAAGTTTTAATGAAAAAGACTTAAAAAAGTAGCCTGTTTATAGGGGGGAGGAAAAAGTAAAATATAAATTTATTCTAGTAAATAAACGTTTAAAAATAATTGAAAATATCTATTTTGTATTTTCCTATTTCTTTTTTAACTAAAAATGGGAATGGATTCCATAATATACAAACATATGCTTTTTTTTTTGTTTGTAAATCTCATAAGTCATTTATTAATTATTGAATTTATTTTTAAATTTTAGCAGTGCTTACAAATTTATAAAAGTATGCTTCTATAATTACTTAATGTTTCATTTAAAACTTGTAAATGTAATCTTGATTTCAATTTTTGTATATTTATAAAAGGAATATATTTTTTTCCTTTTGCAATCTCGTGGCTTTGATTAGTTTTATTTATTTTCTTTTTTTTCCAATCCAAAATGAAAAAGCAGCCCTTAGTGGATTTAATGGTATTTGTAAAAATAACAGTTCTCTTCCCTTTAAATGTTCTTATCTTTGTTTGTGACTCACTGTAGCATGATGGTCAAAGTGATGCCTTTAAGAATACCTTGAAGTATATGAATATGACCTTCACTTCACTATTCTCACTTGAATGTTTGCTCAAGATCGTGGCATATGGAGCCCGGGTAAGGAGGGGACACTTAAGTTATTCTTTAGCCCTTTGAATTAACTGCTGGATTTTCTTTCTACACTGAAAATTAAGTAGAGCACTTACACAGCCGATAGTTTTCTTTTTTCTTATATATATTTCAAATATTTTCAAATATAAGGTTGCCATCTTTTATTAATAAACATGGAAAATCAGTTTTTAATGCCTATGGAAGGAAAAAAGTTTGCTTGCACACTAATATCAAATTTAAAGTCTGTCTTGAATTGATGCTGATTACGTAAAAAATTTTGCACATATTGCAGGAGACAAGCAGAAGGTCATTTTTCTAAAAGGAGGTAGCAAAATTGTAATTAATAATAGAATCTAATAAAACAATAAAAAATACACAACATTTTTTTAATTCAAAGACGAATGTTGTTATATGTTCAGCCTAGCCAATATTTATCACTCAAATGATAGCTAGGGGTAATTGCTTCCAACTATGGTGCCATTCTAGACTTTTAGTCTTAACTTAATGAGTTGCTTCTGTTAAAATCCTGTTTCAGTTTATAATGATAATAAATACAAGATACAAATTCAACAAGATATAAATTTCACTACAAAAATCATAGAAGTTTAAGGCCAGAGGTATGCATTTACTTATAGCTGTTCCTTAGAATCGAAAAAAAAAAGAGAAAGCTGATATTACTTTATGGTTATTAGTTATGTTTATTTAAGATTGATTACACCTTTCCAGGACATATGAGACTTTGATTTTAAACTACAGTGAAACTTTGGTTTACAAATTTAATTCATCCTGAAGACCATTCATCATTTCAAATATTCGTAAAGCAAAATTATTTTTTGGAACTAATTAATGTAAAAGGAAGTAATCCATTAGTGGACCGCAGATGATCAATTATTTAAAACTTACAGCAGTACATTGCATTTAAGTTTATAACACAAAAATAATAAAAATCATTAAATCTAAGAAATAAATAAAGAGATGTTATTTTTTGGGTGAAAAGTGTCTCTTTTCTTAAAAATGTAAGGTAATTGTATTTCTGAGGCATCTTCTTATATGTTTTCTTTATCTCTTGGCACCCTTCGACTTTGCTTAAAACTCACTGAGCTTCCATTTCATTCATAATTTATCTAATGAGTTTTGCTTTTATCTATGGGTTAAAATGCTTCTAAAATAAGAACATGGTATTGTCATTGAAAATGCTTCTTACTGCTTCATCAAGTGACAATTTCATGAAAATTTACTCTATTTTGCAGAAATTTGAGTGGCTGTAGAACTTAAGTTTGTCTTCTCTTCTTTCCTCTTCCTTTGAAAACATTCTACCACAGTTGCCTTTTGTGGTTTGCTTCTGAAGTTGTTTCAATTCATTCTTGCTGAATTCATACATGATCCTTTAGCAACTCCTGCATGTCTGATTTATTAAATTCCAAATGCATGGTTTTATCTAGAGACACAATATCACAGATAACCAAAAAAAAATTGTCAAATTATCTGCCAGTTATGTATTATCTGCCTGTGATCCACTCTGACCATGATTTTTCTAGGCCTAAATCATAATTCTGGAAGTCACTTGCTGTCAGGCTTTGTTAATGAGAGTTAAGAAATGAAAAATATTAAAGTAATGTTTCTGGAAGTCCCTGAGTATAATGTCAAGAGTGCACCTAGTACCTTTGAAAATCGTTTACTGCTGACTTGAGTGCTTATATAACTTGAGATACCGTTCGTAATCCGAAATGTTCATCACCCAATTTATTCGCGATCTGAGGCATTCGTGATCTAAATCTCCGCCATATCAACGCTGTACAGTAATGAGTGGTTTTTACGAAATTATTAATAGTACATCCTGTTTATTTAATTGTTTGTATACATATTATATTGAATAAATATTCATCAATAAATACGAAATAAAACAAAGTTTCATGTTTAGGTATTCATTTCCTAAACATTAATTGCCTGTTCTTCAACTATTCCTTCAAACATTTATCTCATGCAGGCATGACAAGTAGAAAAAGGATTAATGTTTTTTAAAGCTTATATCGAAATTAAGTTTGGAATCAATTTATATATGAATTCTGAAGCAACCCTGTGCTTAATATTTACAATATACTTCACTGTGTTATTTACAGTATATTGACTTAATAGTTGTTTAAAAGTAATGCCATTAACTATGAGATGTAAATTTAATTTAAATTAGTTGGCAACCTTATTTCAAAGTATTTCTTTAAAGAAGATTCATTATCCCTACAGTTTTTACGCCCATCAAATTATTAAATGAAAAATACTAGTGGACTCCTGAGATCTGTCTGATGTTTTTTGTTGCATTTCTTTATGCAACTCATATGGAATTTTAAACATTATTCATAAAATTAAGCTATTCAGATTCACCTAGTTCAGATTTTGCTTAGAATGAGCCCATAATAACTTGATGTAATTTTTAAATTTTGAAAATTTAAATTATGTTTTTTAATTTTAAGTTTCTTGTATGTAAAAAATTTATTCTTTTTTTTTAATAATTCTTAAGCTGTTCTTTTCTCTTTACAACTTTTTTATCATCTTCTTTTTATTTTTAATTTACTTAAAGAACTTGAATTTTTAGCAAAAGCATATATTATTCAAAGTTAAATTTCTATATATTTATAGTATCATAGTTTTGGGCAACTAAGTGTTTTCAAAGGAAAAATTATGTTTGTCACATTTGTTTATTAAAAATGTATGGATAAAACAAGTTGATAGGTCCTCTAAACTCATTACACTAATGTATTGCCTTTTTTAAGATTTTAATTTAATTTTTTTCATTAAATTTTTTCTAGCTCTTTCTTCAAAGGGATAAAGTATATTTTTTTCATGTTAAATCTCTTTTTTATAATAAAATCTCTTTAAACTTGGGCAGTGTATCGGTTTGATTGGAGGTAGTTTAAAATATTATGTTATTAATTAATATTTTTGTAAAATAATAACCATAACAGGGTAAAATTCATAATGTTCTCTACACCTCCAGTCCAGCCCCTCTTCCACCTTGAATAATCAGAGAGCAATTTCTATATATTTATAGTATCATAGTTTTGGGCAACTAAGTGTTTTCAAAGGAAAAATTATGTTTGTCACATTTGTTTATTAAAAATGTATGGATAAAACAAGTTGATAGGTCCTCTAAACTCATTACACTAATGTATTGCCTTTTTTAAGATTTTAATTTAATTTTTTTCATTAAATTTTTTCTAGCTCTTTCTTCAAAGGGATAAAGTATATTTTTTTCATGTTAAATCTCTTTTTTATAATAAAATCTCTTTAAACTTGGGCAGTGTATCGGTTTGATTGGAGGTAGTTTAAAATATTATGTTATTAATTAATATTTTTGTAAAATAATAACCATAACAGGGTAAAATTCATAATGTTCTCTACACCTCCAGTCCAGCCCCTCTTCCACCTTGAATAATCAGAGAGCAATTTTGCTGCATGTGTTATGCATATTGAAAATTGAATGATGGAAGTCAATTCTCTGTGCTGCTAGCATCTTGTTTAGCAGCATTTTAAAAGCATATAGAATTGTGTTGATTCCTTTTTCTGCATCATTGTTTCAGTGATCGCTCTATCTTGTGCCATGACACACCAGCTTTAAATGCACTGTGATTTTAATTCAGCCCTTTCCAGCTTCTAAAATTCATAACAACTCATTTTAAAAACATTTTGTTAGACTTTTCAATTTTTAAAACTGGATTTAAAATTCACTATATATCAATTTCTCGATATGATAAAGATTCGTCTAAAAGATATTTTGTGTAAAAATCTCACAGCAAAATTTTCTGCTCCCCCCCAAAAAAAATCACATTTTGATATTCTGAATTTACAGAGATTTTTGGCAAGATATTTCTTGTGTAAATTTTTTTATATATTTCTTATATAATTTGTATAGCAAGAACTTTTACAAAATAATATGTTTTTTACCAATTTTCCTTGCATATTGCAATTTTAAATTCATATTTCTGTAAATAAACAAAACAAATATATGTAATGAATATACACATAAATTTTGAGGTGATAACATTATTCAAATTGGAAAATTTTTATAATTATGTTTCTTGACAATTTTTAAAAATATGAAATGCTGGAAAGGGCAATTTTTATGAAAATTTTAGAATAAATCTGTTAAGAAAGTCTGCATATATCTTGTTGCTGTGTGAAAAAATATAGGTAACTAAGTTTCAAGTTGCATTAGATCTTGCTTACCTACCTCCTGTTTAATATTATATTTGGCCCCTTGCCTGCTGTCATTCATATGCATGTCATGCATCTCTGCCCACACTAAAGCCGAGCAAGCACTTGCGATCTGGGGCACTTTCCACATATAAATATAAAAAATAACGCATGATTTAAATTAGTTGTCATCTCAGTTTGTGGAAATGAAAAGCATGAATTTATTACTTTAACATGAATGCACTTTTCAAATATTTTGGTAAATAGTAAAAGAAGTGTTTGAAATTAGTAAGTTGTATTTTTAATGTATGGAAAGTAATATAAGTTCTTTATCCAACTGGTCTGTTGGTAATCACAATCCCTTTTTGTTTTTAAATAAGTTACTTAACTACTTTATGAACTGTATTCCAGTTGGTGATTAGGTTGCAAAAATATAGTTGCTTGGTTTTATGTGTCTGCAGTTTTGACCTTATCCCATCTGATATCAATATTTTGTCAATTTCTGTTCCTCCTGCTATCCTATTCTATTATTTTTTTTTTCTCTTTTCTTCCCACACCCTTCCTGCGCCTGTAGTACCACACAGCAAGCAATTTGTACTTAGACTGTTTAGGCTACTTGAACGTGATATTCACATCAGTGTTCCTGCTAGAATGTATTTTGAAGCTAGCTGCTTACGGATGCAAGGTTTGAAGATTTCCTGTAACTATATATAATAGCAGACTTAAAAATATTTTTCAAAAAAATGAATGAGTTGTCATTTTCTTCAAACTGTAGAACTTTTTAATTTTCTTTTAATATATGTGAAAATTAATTGCAG